CCCCGTTTAGGATGACGTGGTAGTGAATGACCGATGGGGTCGGAACACTTCCTGTCACCATGGAGGATTCTACAACTGTCAAGATAAATACATGCCACACAGCTTGCCAAGTCACAAGTGGGAGATGTGCACCAGCATTGACAAGCTGTCCTGGGGCTATCGTCGCAACATGGTGATATCTGAGGTGGTAAAAGAATCTCAGATCATTAAGGTAAGAGCACCTACTGACCTCCAACCAGCCTTCAGAGAGTAAGAATAGCTCTCTGAGTGAAAGTCAGGTCACTAGGACCCATGAGGGTTGTTGAACATACTAACAAACCTATCCCAAGAAAGTGGTTACAGTTACAGAGGGAAGTTGTACCCTAGAGGTTCTTCCCAAGATCATATTTTCAATTGGACATGTGGGTTGACTCAAATTTCTTGCAACCACAGAGGGATAATTAGATAGACTTGAGGATTTTTCTTAATGGTAAAAATGTTGATGAATGCCATATAATTAATCATTGAGTGAAAAAATCAGTTACATATTATTGCAACTATATGAAATTACCTGCCTAGGAAAAGGACTGGGAGACATGAGAAATTAACGAGCCAAAGGAATCTGTAGTCCTGCCATGATTCTCCTTTTAACGTTTTTCTGTATATGGCCTTAGTTTTTCTGAGCTGCCTGGAAGTTTATCGGTTCAAGGTCACAGTAAACACATATACACCCCCAATTTCCACTCCAGAAGCCTTAAAGAATATATCTCTTTGCTTCAGTTTTCCCCAAAGGGCAGCACATGCATTTCCTATAGCCCAAGACAGTGAGTGGTCTGAAATTCTTCACACTCTTCCAGCTGCCAGCGTCTCTTCGGTAGCTGCTCAAGCGGTCTCCTCTCTAATCCCTGTATTCTCTGCGTCACTCCCCGTGAACCCATCACATTTTCTCTGCATCACTCCCCGTGAACCCGTCACACTCTGCTGTTTCTTGTCTCAGCTTCCCTGTTCATACCCTTTGTTTCTGAGATATGACCCTTCCTACTCCATCCTAAGTGCAGTCTCCCAAAAAGTGCCTACGACCAATCCCTGGAATATGAGTTAATGCATTTCTTCATCTTATAGTAGGATTCTTTAGTTTTCTCATATGAGCCTCCCCTACTTTCATAATGACCAAAAAAAAAAAAAAAAAAAAGATAGAATTTTAAAATGGTAAAGGATATTCCCAAAGCAGGGAACGTGGCCTAGCTTACTTTTCTTCTTTTAGTATCTCTGTGTTCCAAGCGTGATGGCAGATTTGGTGTCCGTGCTAGGCTGTCACTGTTTCTGCTCTCTCCAGGAACTGATTCAGACAGTAAGTTTGGGAGGCAACTATCTTCTGAACATCGGCCCAACTAAAGACGGATTGATTATTCCCATCTTCCAAGAAAGGCTTCTTGCTGTTGGAAAGTGGCTGAGCATCAATGGGGAAGCTATCTATGCCACCAAACCGTGGAGGGTGCAGTTGGAGAACATGACATCTGTATGGTGAGTTGTTTCTTCCATTATGTACAGGAACAAGACTGTTCCATCCTCAATTGGCATATCCTTAAATCCACAGTGGAACAAGCCTGGCAGGAAGTCGCCTTGAGGAAACCCAAAAGCTGTTCTTTTCGTATAAAATTTGTGCCCCAGTTGAGTTATGTCTGGCCTACTGGGATATCTTTAGTGAAGGAGGTGGTAAGCTTAAAGGAAGGGGCTACAAAGCATCAGTCAATTTAGTTGAGATTAGTAGCTTGCCTCCAAAAAATAGTAATAGCTAATCCTTGCATTGCACCTCCAGTGTACAAGGCTCCATTCTAAATTCTTTCCATTCCTATTTGAGCTTCTGAATCTAGTTATTTGATCTTGGGCCCTAGTTTTTAACTGCAAAATGGAGTGATGATATTTAACTTTATAGAGTTGTTGTGGGATTAAATGAGATAATATATGTAAAGCACTCAGCAGAGTGCCAAGCACATACTAAGTGTTCCATAAAAGCTAACTGCTGTTGTTATACCAAAGATCTTTGGTATAACAAAGGAAAGCACCTGAATCCTACTCTGTTTTGGATGAATTTCTATTTAGTGATTATCTTTGTTTTCTGTTGCTATAGCTGAATACCGCAGACGGAGTAATTTCTAAAGAATAGTGGTTTATTTAGCTCTGGAGGCTGGGAAGTCCAAGAGCATGGTACTTCATCTGATGAGGGACTTTCTGTTCTGTCGTGGTATGGTAGGAGTTATTGGATGATTAGAGGGCAAGAGCATGCCAGCCTGGGTCTCTCTTCCTCCTCTTCTTTCTTTCTTTCTTTCTTTCTTTCTTTTTTGGACATAATCTCGCTCTGTCACTGTGAGCAGAGTACAGTGGGATCCTCAGAGTTAACTGCAACCTCAGACTCCTGGGCTCAAGCGATCTTCCTGTGTCTCAGCCTTCTGAGTAGCCGGGACTATAGGCAAGCACCACCACACCCAGCTAATTTTTTCTATTTTTGGTAGAGATGGGGTCTCACTCTTGCTCAAGCTGGTCTCAGACTTCTGGTCTCAAATGATCCATCCTCCTGCCTCCGCCTCCTAGAGTGCTAGATTACAGGCATGAGGCCACCACATGAGCCTCTCTTCCTCTTCTTCTAAGTCACTAGTTCCATCATGGGGCCCATCCTGAAGACCTCAGTTAATCCTAGGTGCCTTGCAAAGATTCCCACCTCTAAATATTTTACCATCAACACATGAAATTGGGGGTTAAGTTTCCAACACATATATTGGGGCTAGGGGGACATTCAAACCATAGCAGTGATTTTCTTCTTCTTTTTTTTTTTTTTTTTTTT